TCACATTCTCCACGAATGACCAGAATGGGAAAGTTGTCGCTTGTCCCTCAGCTGTGGGAGTTGGCAGCTCCCAAGAACTGAGCCTTACTGGGAAGAGGCTTGGTTGACCAGGTTGATTGTTCAGTGGCTTTGTGTGGAAAGTGGTGTGGGGTGGTTGTGGTGCCAGAGAGGGTGGAGCAGGAAGGTACCTGTGGTGGGATCCAGGGGTGGAACAGCAGCTGAAGCAGGAAGGTGAGACCCAAGAGCAAGCTGGCTCCAGGGCCCTTAGACGTGGGCCCAGGGACTGTGTATTCAGCCACTGGTGCATTAGCCACTGCTGCTGTTTGCTGCCTGCCTCCAAATCACATTAAACCTTGTTAAGCAATTGGAGACATTTTAGAAGAATCCATAAGAAAGGAAAAAACAGGAAAGTAACATGAGTTTGATGCGACCTTCCCAGTGCAAAGTGTTAGAATAGAATAGAGCTTAGAGTCAAGGCAGTGCTGCTGCTCAAAGGTGAGCGTTGACGAAAGACGGAACTCCAGTACTCCCCCTGCCGCTCACTCCCTTCCCAATTTATTTCAAAGAAGAAAGTGGAAAACACTCCGCAGTCTCCAAGGGGCTACTGTTCTGGCAGTTGTGACCTCTTTTGAGGCTCCTTGGATGAAACAGAATAGTTCTTGTGAGTCTGAGTAACAAAGCAAGGCAGAATGGAACTTTCTGGTTGGCATTTGAGGCGCCTGAATGTTTAGCTGTAAGGGTTTATGTGGGTATGTGTGTTTTATGCCCATGTGATAAAATCTCCTTCCCAGAAAGTCAGTCCTGCTGATTAATCTAGCTGTCCTGAATACTTTTTTTTTTATTAAGGTGTAATTGATAATACAATCTTATGCTCAGGTTTCACATGAGCAACATTGTGGTTACTACCTTCCCCCCTATTAACAAGTCCCCACCACATTATCCCATTATAGCCCTGTCCACCAGCACAGTAAGATGCTATGGAGTCACTATTTATCTTCTCTGTGCTATATTGCCTTCCCTGTGCCCCTCCTATATTATGTGTGCTAATCATAATGCCCCTTAATCCCCTTATCTCTCCCTTCCCACCCACCCTCCTCAGTCCCTTTCCCTTTGGTAACTGTTAGTCCATATTTGAGTTCTGTGAGTCTGCTGCTGTTTTGTTCCTTCAGTTTTTGCTTTGTGCTTCTGCTCCACAGATGAGTGAAATCATTTGGTATTTGTCTTTCTCCACCTGGCATATTTCACTGAGCATAATACCCTGTAGCTCCATCCATGTTGTTGCAAATAGTAGGATCTATTTTCTTCTTATGGCTGAATAATATTCCATTGTGTATATGTATCACATCTTCTTTATCCATTCATCTACTGATGGACACTTAGTTTGCTTCCATTTCTTGGCTATTGTATTGTGCTATAATAAACATAGGAGTGCATATGTCTTTTTCAATCTGTGATCCTGTTTTCTTAGGGTAAATTCCTAGGAGTGGAATTCCTGGGTCAAATGGTATTTCTATTTTTAGTTTTTTGAGGGACCTCCATACTGCTTTCCACAATGGTTGGACTAATTTACATTCCCATCAGCAGTGTAGGAGGTTTCCCCTTTCTCCACATCCTCGCCAGAATTTGTTGCTGTTTGTCTTTTGGATGTTGGCCATCCTAACTGGTGTAAGATGATGTCTCATTGTGGTTTTAATTTGCATTTCTCTGATGATTAGAGATGTGGAGCATCTTTTCATGCGCTTGTTGGCCATCTGAATTTCTTCTTTGGAGAAGTGTCTGTTCAGATCCTCTGCCCATTTTTTAATTGGGTTATTTGCTTTTTGGTTGTTGAGGTGTGTGACCTCTTTATATATTTTGGATGTCAACCCCTTTTTGAATATGTCATTTATAAATATATTCTCCCATACTGTAGGATGCCTTTTTGTTCTACTGATGGTGTTCTTTGCTGTACAGAAGCTTTTTAGTTTGATATAGTCCCACTTGTTCATTTTTGCTTTTGTTTCCCTTGCCTGAGGAGATATGTTTATGAAAAGTTGCTCATGTTTATACTCAAGAGAATTTTGCCTATGTTTTCTTCTAAGAGTTTTATGGCTTTATGACTTACATTCAGGTCTTTGATCCATTTTGAGTTTACTTTTGTGTATGGAGTTAGACAGTAATCCAGTTTCATTCTCTTACATGTAGCTGTGTAGTTTTTCCAACACCAGCTGTTGAAGAGGCTGTCATATCCCCATTGTATGTCCATGGCTCCTTTATCATATATTAATTGACCATATCTGCTTGGGTGTATATCTGGGCTCTCTATTCTGTTCCATTGATCTATGGGTCTGCTCTTGTGCCAGCACCAAATTGTCTTGATTTCTGTGGCTTTGTAGTAGAGCTTGAAGTTGGGAAGTATAATCCCTCCTGCTTTATTCTTCCTTCTCAGGATTGCTTTGGCTATTCAGGGTCTTTGTGGTTCCATGTGAATTTTAGAACTATTTGCTCTAGTTCATTGAAGAATGCTATCAGTATTTTGATAGGGATTGCATTGAATCTGTAGATTGCTTGAGGCAGGATGTCCATTTTGATAATATTAATTCTTCCTACCCAAGAGTATGGGATGTATCTCCATTTATTACTGTCCTCTTTAATTTCTCGCAAGAGTGTCTTGTAGTTTTCAGAGTATAGGTCTTTCACTTGCTTGGTTATGTTTATTCCTAGGTATTTTATGCTGACTGATGCAATTGTGAATGCAATTGTTTTCTTGATTTCTCTTCCTGCTAGCTCATTGTTAGTGTATAGGATTGCAACAGATTTCTGTGTATTAATTTTGTATCCCGCAACTTTGCTGAATTCAGATATTAGTTCTAGTAGTTTTGGAGTGGATTCTTTAGAGTCTTTTTATGTACAATATCATGTCATCTACAAACAGTGACAGTTTAACTTCTTCCTTACCAATCTGGATCTGAATACTTTTTTAAATGAATTATTTTAATGATGTCAAAAAGTAAAAGTAATATTAAAAATCCATTTAAAAGTCAGTAGTGTTATATTAAGCATACAATAGTCTTGGCTAATACAAAACTCATGTGCATAGAAAAGGTTAAGCTAATGCTCTTCAGACTACACTCATAATTACCATCCTGGGACATGGCATTATCTGCATCTAGCTTTATTCACTAGATCTGTTATTTCTGTATTATTAAAGAAGAGAACACATAAAAAGGTAGCTTTCACATGAGTCTATGTAATGAGATGTTAACCTAAGTAAATAAAATTACAGTTAATCTCTCAATTATCTCAATGTTATGAGATATAGCTCCATCTTCTTCCCCTTCTAAACTTATTGCTAAAACTAATGAAAAGTAGAGGAATTAACTAACTTGACTATTTTTTTCTCTCTTTCCTCATTGATGCCTGATGGTGATGCTATAATTAGTAATGTAATGAAAAGTGAAGGATATATAGGAAGAATTATTCCCAGAACACTATTCTAGGGATGGAAGACTGGAATAGTAAAATCAGCCTGAGGTTTAAGTGTTTTCCATGCTGAAGTAAAGGATGTCTTATCTAGTGTTCTACACGTGGACATTTTCTAGGCAAAAAGGAGGGAAAGAACGTCAGTGGCACTGCATTTAGAGGAGTTACTTAATGCATAAGCTCTGGACCTGTTGATTTACATCACTGGTGTGAGGGTTTGGTTCTTGTGATTAAGAACCAGATTGGAGTTATCTGAGACTTAAATACAGAACTCTCAGCTTTTGGATCTATTTTTCTGTACATAACTTTTAATAATAAATAATTAGCAAGTAAGCTCTTATATTGGAAACTTAATTTAAAAAGTAATTTATAATAGATTTAAAGGATTTATAGCTAGAGGACTCTTTGTGTGTTTAATGCCAGCCCAACCATCCTTATTTTGTTAATGAAGATCATGGGCCTGAGAGAGGTCAGAATGTTGGTTCTAAGTCCAGGGTTAAGGCAGGACTCCTGAGTCCCAGTTCAGTGCTTCCCCAGGTGCTCAGTGCACAAGGGCGCCTGGTTCTGCCTGCATCTGTAATGCTGAATAAGAACTGCTCCCCATGAAGAAAATCCATTGAGCTCTTGAATTGTTTCTGAATGTTCACTATTTTCTCTTCCTATTCTGGTTTTTAAAAAAGTAACCCCCTTTTGTCAGTTAACACGAGTATTCAAACCTAGCACGCCACTTGCCAGCCATTGAGAATGAATGGAGAGTCCCCACCTATGCCGCACACCCAGTGTTGTCCTTGTCTGCTTCTGTTGCTTGCTTCCAACTAGAAATCAACTTGTCCCCTAAAGGCCAAGTCAGAGGACAAGTGCCGAGGTCAAGACCTTCAGAACATGCCATATCTCTTACCTGTTCGTTGTGTATCTTAGATAAATTCCATTCAAGTAAAATGTGTCTGAGCTTTTACATTATATGCCCTCCTTTATTGCCTCTAATACTATTCTAATGCTTGCTTGGTTTATGCGTATGGGAGGAAATAGAATTTCCAAGTGGTTCACATGTCAGTGATTATAGCAGCTATTTTTGGTCTTGGCAATGAAACATGTTTCAGAAACCACCTTTAGATTAAAAAAATATAAAAATCCTGTTAACCAGGATGAAACTGTAGCTGCAAGAAATAATCTGAACCACTAGAGTAAACTTTGTAATAATTTTCAATAATTGAATAATCTTTTATAATTTTATAATTACAGATGAAAATATGGGGTAGCACAGTTGCCTGTGGACTAGTCTGACCAAGTGTTCCTCTTTTTGAATAACCTCAGGGAGAGTCAGAAATAGCTGAGTTTTTGCTGCAACCTCTTTTATTTCTAAAATGTGATTTTTCAGACTTTGATTGTTGATGTTTTTCTTCCCCTCTTCTTGCCTCAAAAAAATAATGTGCCAAGTTATAGTCATACATTAACAGCTGCCACAGACCCTCTTGGTGTCTGTCAGTGAGACTCTAGTGTAAAGTCATTAGTTGTAAAGTATATTTTTTGTCTTTCAGAACAAGGGAAAAGCAATCTGCATGTAACGTCATCAGAAGATGCAGAATGTCGCAGAACCAAGGAGCGCCTTTCTAATGGGAGCAGTCGTGGTTCCATGTCCAAGTCTTCCCGCAGCATCCCAAGGAGACACACCCTAGGTGGGCCCCGAAGTTCCAAAGAAATACTGGGAATGCAAACATCTGAGATGGACAGGAAGAGAGAAGCTTTCCTAGAACATCTGAAGCAGAAGTACCCACATCATGCCACAGCCATCATGGGCCACCAAGAGAGGCTGAGAGACCAGGTATGAACCTGTTGCAGTTTCATTTTGCAAAGCTCACTCTTTAATGAACTTGACGGGAAGCAAAGTGACTGGCAATGTAAAGTCGTAGTGTTTACTACTGAGTTGTTCCAGATCTCTTCTGAGGCCTCGAAAGAAGATGCAGTCTGTTGAAAAGGTTTGACCTGAATGCTCAGCCTTCTTTATCAGCACACCAGAGATGAGAGACCCAGAGTGTGCACAGTTCCCCAAAAGAGTGTCCCCATGTTCAACCACAAATACATCTCAAGTGCAAACAATGATGGGGTATTACTTGGCTGAGCAGAGCATGGGACCACCACTGTGCACCCAGCTAGCACGGAATCTCGAGCACAGTGAATGGGTGGATGAGTGAATGAATGAAAATACATTTTCAGGGGCAAAGTCTTATACAGAGGGGTAGGCTTGTGATGAACCCCTTTTCCTTAAGAGGCTGACGTGAGGGTTTTGCTTTTGTAATTTTTTATTATTATTATTCACTGGTGTTTACCTTTTGCATGCTTGCCTTTCTGCTGACTTTAGCTATCTATTTTCTCAATGCTACCTGGACAGCCACACAGATAGCACCCAAACGTGGTTTGGGATGTTTTTGCTCCTTGGCTGTGTGTGACTTCTTGTTCGCAGACAGCACAGGCCCAGGGTCATGGATATGGGAGGCCTCCTTGGCATACCTCACAGGTGTGATACCAGATTGACCTCTGAGGATGGAAAGTACAGTAAAAGAAGCAGGGCACCCTTAGTAGCTTGCATGGCTGGGGAGGTGGGCATGAGGGGAAGCAAAGTGACTGGCCGTTTCTCATTTCACACTCCAGGCAGAGAGGCAAGTTCAGTGTTTTGAGTGTGTTATCCTGCCAGTTAGTTACAAAAGTAATGTCTAACTAACTCAGCTTTTGATCATGTATGGAAAAGGATATTGGCATTGGCCTGAATAATTTAAATCTAAACTTTACCCTTAGTCTTCTTTTATTCCTGAAATGCAATATTTTCTCTTATGAAAAACTTTATCAGAGTGCCTAAAAATGTGAAATGTGCTTTTTGGACTGTATGTTTACTTTTTCCACAGCTTTATTGAGATATAATTGACATGTAACAAAAATACCACATTTTTCTATTGCTAATAGGGTCACTATCCACTTACATAATAGAATATGTACCTCTCCCTGTATCATTTCTTATGGGGTACCATACTTTATCTAAAGTGGTTCAGACTGAGTAAACTCAACCTTAAAGAATAGTTGCAATTACACCATTTGCTAAGGGAAAGTTGGTATTTGAATCCAGTTGATTCTGAGCTCAGAATCCTTATTTTTTCTGCTATTCTATAAGTTGGCAATCATCGTTTATAGAGCACATAGTAGTCTTTTTGGAGAGAAACAAATTTTCCTTCCACCCTTCTAGTTCATTAGGTGGTCTAATGATTAAATTGATGTAAGACAGGTTAACAGGAGAAAAAAGTTTAATAGCCATATACCTCCTCCTGTATACATGGGAGAGACCCAAGAAAACTTAGTAACTCCCTGAAATAGCCCAAGACATTGCCTTCAATACCATGTTCAGCAAAAGACAAAAGAAAACGGTTGTGTTGGAAAGGTTACCAGGGAAAACACAGTAAATAGGGGTAAGGTTGTTATGACCTAAAATAATTTAGAGGGGAGGCCTGGCCCAGGAAGACAACTGTTACCAGAGATAACTTTTTTTTTTTTTTTTTG